CAAGGACACAAAGTCGGACCGAGCTGAAGCTTGAACCCCCGAACCCTCAATCTCACGATTACGAGTCCGGTAACCTAACCACTAGGCTACCGATGCCACTTCCATTTAATAATAAGTTTCTAATGTTTTATATCCTCCAGCTAATAATCAATTTCAAATTTTATATTTTCTCATCTAGCAAACTGCGTGGTCTAATCAGATTCAAGAGACGCTGAATAAACTGAGCCAAGCTCGCCAACGTAGTGAGAATCTGATTGATTCCATGCTGACCAAGAGCATTGCAGACCGCCTCAAGAGAGGTGATGATGCTGTATCTACGTGTGAGGTAAGTCCCTGACTCCTCAGTCTGTATAATTCTTGTCTGAAACGTGTAGGTACTTTGTTGGTAGGAGAATAGGCATCATTGCAGTCGGCACAATGCCATAGCTGCTCCTCCCTCCTCTCCAGGATCCATGAAAGGGTCTGCCTGCTGATCGTGCCAGTTAACAGTTGGTTAGATATTCTTCTGGCTTTCCCCCGCAGGTTGCTGTCTCTCCCCGACCCTCTACAGACACCAGTTTCCCTTCGTCTATCCATTTTGTTTGAAGTGGTGCCTTCATCCTCTCTGTAGTCGTTGGACCATGCTGTCAATGCTGCCATGACTGTTGGTGGATCTAATTGCAAGGTGCCGCCAATCTCGGCCTGGCCGGCTAGCTTACCAGCACGTTCAAAAGTGAATAGATTATAACAGAAATATAGAATGTAACGTACTTAAGTATGTAGGATGATAAAAAAAAAAGTAAGGCAGATTAGGTACTTACTTCTTTGCTTCTGATTAACATTTGCGTATAAATGTTGATCTGTTTCTTGTTTGATCGGGTGGTAAGTTAGCGCTCTAGTCTCGTTTGCCCCTTCTTTCCTGCCAAAAGTTTATTTTTCCTTACATCTCCTCCTTCATTTCTTTTTATGTTACTCTCTAGTAACACATCTAATCAAGGGTACTCATATTACCGTAGAGCTTAAATTAAATCAGTATCTCTAATTCTTGCCTGAACTGTGCAAGTACTTTTTTTCTGTTTAACATGTATTTTTTGCATAATTAATCTTAGTCATTTTATATTGCCGTCGAGTGGCTTTTGGCTGTGTTTGGTCGTAGTCTAATGCAATTTTTTAAAACCAGCTTGAAGAAGTATTCATACTCGTATTATGCTTTCAAATGATAGCTTTTTCTGAAGCTGAAACTGGTTAAAAATAGCATGATCAATACGTGTCATAACTGTATGATCGTATTTTTTCTAATGTTTTTGTTTGAATACAATCATTATCCTCATAATTTGTCTTATACAGTTTTAAATTCAAAAGAACATTCATTAGTTGTTTGTTTATTTTTACTTTACGGTGTTTGCTTTTATATGTTACTTGTGATGTGGATTAGTAAATATCTTTCCTTTTCAATACGGATAGTAATATCGTTAACAATCAGCTTCTAAATGTATTTGTCGCCTGGGTACAACAACCCTGTAACCCACACTATGTCAAAAAACTTTTTCTTTTTTTTTTTTTGCTTTTTCTACTAAATGTAACGTTTCGGATTTTGTGTCAAATTTTTTGACATGTAGCTCAATAAACATCGCCAGTGCGACATTCCGACTTTAACTTTTATTTTTTAGGTTTTTTTCTTCTCCAGGAAAATTTTGTTTTCGTGGGATACAGGGTTGCTGTACTCAGACGACGGTATATTTTATCCCCCATCCGGAGCTAACCTGTTCAACTAATAATCCAATTGTAATCCTATATTTCGTCCTCCATCCTAAGACATTTCTCCACGTAACTATTCTGTTCAATTGATAATCATGTTCTTATTTTACATTTTCTCATCCATCCACTGACATTTTCCGTAATAAACATATTGCTCAGTTAATCATCAGTTTCTAATCCTATATTACCTTCTCATCAATTCACAGGCACTTCTCCAAGTAAATTAATATCCTGTTCAACTAAATCAGTTCCTTATGCTATATTATTTCCTCATCGATCCCGAGGCATTCCCCTAAGTAACCGTCTTATTCAGCTAATTACATACTTTACGTTTTCTGTCATCTTATACCACGAGATGTCAAGGGGAGATCACGTAACCTCCCGGGGCGGTGCTACTTACTGAAGTGTCTTTAGGCCATTCCCTAAAGGGAGGGGGGGCATTAACCATGTTCTTATGCACAGTAGAATTGAAATTGTAGATGTGCTGATTCATCAATGTCACGCTTATAACTGTGCCTGAACTTCAACAGGGAACTGCTGTTTTTTCTTTCGTAATCCTTACTATCGTCATTGTCATTTTTCCTTTACTTCTTTTGTATGTTTGTCACACTAATGTGACCCGCTATTTCCGGGGTGCTTTGATAGTCGTAGCAGACTTTGTGCTGTTGAAGCTAGAGAGGTGAGCAGAGTAAATCTGATTCCCTGTGTAAGGACTTCTCTGTTGACATCCACCCCTTGGCGCTCATATGCAGTTGCGAGCGCCGTAAAACCTCTACTAAAACAATGAGATTACGTAATTGTAGGATGTGGGACAGGTGTGTTGCTGTTATAATTGTCATGTTGTTCCTTTTGGAAGTCCCATTAACTCCGTCGATCCATTATTTTTCTTGGTTTTCCTGTTCCGCTATTAACCAGTTTCTAAGCTTATATTTTCTCATCCGTCCCTAGGCATTCCCACAAGTGACCATTCTGTTCAGCTACATGGTCCGCTTTTCGGACATTTGCACAGAAGGCTCACCCATGCAGGTTGTAGAGTGTATACAGAACGTGACAGAAGTCTTTGACGCTATAGTAGACAAGTACAATCTATTCAAGGTATGCAGCCTGAGCATTTTTGGGCATTAGGAGTTATTGATGTTAAATTAAAGATTGTTCATTTGTCTTGTTTTCAATGAAAAAAAGTATCCATTTATCCTGAATAGAAGTTGACATATTTGCGCTTGGTTTCAGAAGTAAAATTAGCCAGAAAATGACCGCCAAAGTTTGGTGACTTCCATAGCTTCAGACTCCTTGGAAACTGCAAATTTACTTCTTTTTTTTTTTACCTTTAGTCAACTTTTTCCGTAAAATCCACACATAAAAGTGTTTTGGAAAGGACACATGAGGCGTTGAGCAAAAATAAAAATGGAAAAAAATTCCAAACTGGACGAAAAATGCTGATTTCTAGGATTTCCTTATTTTGACGAGCGCCTGATTTCACCGCGCTGCCTTACCGATCATGCAAATACCGTGTATATACAATTTACTATATTACACTATATATGTTTTTTACGTTGCCTTCAACAATCTTATAAATTTAGCCTTCATTTTAAAATGAATTTGGACCTTTGAACTGTG